CTTTCTCATGTCATTGCTCGACATGCGGGATATAATGTGGTAGAGATGAATGCAAGGTGAGAATTGAAGTGTTAACAAAGTTTAGATCCTAACCAACAATTTGTTAAATTGTGTTGTGATGTAGGCTTTTAGCCAGATGGGTGTCCAGGCATCCTGTAGACGACCACTTTGTAAAGAAAATTGTTTTATTTTTCATACGTTTTGTTATAAAGATAACCAGATAACATCAAGCTTGAGTCTAATGCTGAAACATTTGCGAGGAAAACTTATATACATTTTTCAAAACTTAGGCCGAATTCAGATTAGATTGTTTTGAATCTACATAATTAATTAATTTTTTACATACTCGTGTTTTCCACATAGTTTTTACTTGTAAATTATACCGATATATCTATACATATTTTTAATTTTTAGTTAGCATATGATGAATGGAGAACATTTTTTTTTATTTAATGATATAATAATGATATAAAATACTGTTAAAGAGCTAAATCCTGATGATATGTTTTCCTGTCTGGAGTGTATTGTAAGGATGGTAGCCTGCTTCTGTGTGCATCTTTACATGATAATATTATTATAACATTAATGTTTGTGTATAAGTGATGATCGCTCCCAGGAAGTTTTCAAAAACACTCTTGAAGCATCAACGCAAATGAAGTCAGTGCTTGGACACAGTGAAAAACCAAACTGCTTAATTATTGATGAAATAGATGGAGCACCAGCAGTAAGTAAAATAATGTTTCAAGCCAATATTTAGCCTGATCACATAAAATAATATTGATCATTTAAAAAAGAGTTTTACAGAGTTTATGTTGCTATAGGTGGAAAAATGTATAAAGTATTTTTTCAATTTTGAAACTTTTACTTGTACTCTTGACAGGTCATTTTTTTCTTCAAAACTTTTGCTAACTCTCCAGAACTCAAAAAAAGATTTTTTGATTCATTGAACTCCTAAATATGATATGTTCTGTATGTGGCAGATTAGTTGTTTTTCATTTGCTGCAAGGTGTTTATCAACTTTATGTTGATAAATTAACT